TGTCTCCTGGAGGGATTCTTGTTACTTCTTGCTTTTGTTGGAGTCACCTGTCCATGCTGATGTCGACTCTGTGTAGGTTGTTGTTCACGTCGTTATCGAGTGTATGACAAATGGATTATGGTCATCGTAAGGGCTTGATGAATGTGAATGTGAATGAGTAGCAGGCGGTGTATGAATCTGAAAAGAAGGGTGATGAGATCGAAACTGTTGAGAAGAGTGAATGAATGAGTGGATGATCATGCTATGTTGTTTCAAACTGTGTTATACTGCCAGAGTCATTATGATCATAGTGCTGACGAATCTGGACTCTTGATCCCTTAGACTGCACACTCTGTGCGCATTGTGCCAGAACGTTCGATCGTTCTAGCACTCAATGTAGTCCCAGAATAAGCAGCGAATAACAAGTTCCAGAAATACCCAAAGGCATTCCATCAGAGAAGCTTCCTTGTCCAATAGGATAAATTAAAAACACAGCAGCAGCTGCTGCTACAGGAGCAGAATATGCAACAGCAATCCAAGGACGCATGCCCAAACGGAAGCTAAGTTCCCATTCATACTTAGAATAAATAAAAAATCCATAAAAGAGACATAGACAATAAAGATAAATAAAGGATATATATAATACAAAGAATCTATCTAAGCAATGAAACAAGTAGCTGGAAAATTGAAATTAGAGCTAGCTCAATTTGCATTCTAATAGATATAGATCTCTATCTATATCTATAATATATTAATAAGAATATCATTTATTTTTTGTTCATATTTCTTTTACGTTACAGATTCTATAGAACAAAAAACATAAGCGCAGAATTGCTTATTCTTCAATATCTCATATGGGTTTTGTTTTAATTGGAATTTGTTCATTTACAAATATAGGATTAAGTGGTGCAATTTGTCACCAGAAGTTACACAAAGGTGGACAAGCGATCGATAGAGAGGGAGGATGCTTTCATTTATAATCAGTAACACACCCAGCTCTTCCGCCCCGCTCCCCCCCCCGAGACTTTCTCCCACCAACTTGCCACCTCAGCATGCAATTCTCTCCCTGAAGACACTAATGAAGTTTCTCTGCTGGTATCAGCTATGATGCCCGACCTCCAACATCAATGCTGGCTATGGAGGCTGGCTCCTGCCTTCCTTCAACTCCCTGATGTGACCAGCAGCTCCAGTATCGCCAGTGCACAGGTAAGTCAAGGTAAGCTGCCCACTCCCTCGCACTCTCTCTCCTCTCTCTTCTATAGGTATGGTGGTTCTCTCCTTTCTCCCTGCCTCCTCTCACACTCACTTTAGTAGTGCACTGTAGCGGCTGCGCTATAGCATGTGCACTGTAACCACGCGCTGTAGCCCGTGCACTGTAGCCGCACATGTGCACTGTAGCAGTGTGGGGCAGAATGAATGAGTCGCTGGGGCTGGCCACTCTTTTGTAGTGTTGCCCGGGCTTGGCCTGCCCCAGCTTGCATGCTCCGGCGGTAGAGATTTCTTAGCCTGAGCGGCGCATATTTGCTGTCGGACTTCGTGTGCCCGGACCAAGTAGACCCTGGAATCTTCTGGAACAAATGCAAACAGCCTTTGATTGCGCATCTTATCTATGGCCGTGGTTGAAGTGCTGAGAAATCTCTGACTCTTAGTCTGCTTTTCTTGGGTTCGGCCTGACTCTTGATTTTCCAAGTGTCAACGGTCTCAGGTTGAGGAACAGGTGGCCTCGTTTGACCCTGGACCATATACCTCGTGACCCTAGGGCTTTTCTCAGACCCGTCTAGGGCTACAGAGTCGTACAGACATGACTTTTGACCCCTGAATCTTGACATGGACCAAAAGTTACGACCCTGGCATATATCTGTGAGGAGTTTGAACCCAGTTCATCACATTTGTTTCCATGGTGTGAAGCATGCCTCTCATGGTTCATATCCAGCAGCCAAAACAACATGAATGTTTGGGCTTGTATCAGTATCTTGCACCAATTCTATTTTATATTTTGGAACAGATTGGGTTTGCATTTCAAAGCTGGAAACCGGGTCCAGTGCCCCGTACATCAATTAACCAGGCGAAGAGAGGAAACAAAAAAAAATGAGCAGCAGAGGCAGGACAGGGGATAGAGTGTAACAGGCAACACAACAGGAACCAAACATAAGGCTTGGTCTTGCACTCGTGTTTGTGTGTGGTAGTCGGTAGTGGTTACGGGTCTGTGTTTCTTATGGTTTTCTCCATTTGTATTTGTGATTGGATTTGGTGGTGTGCGTAGGTGCTCACAGGTGATGGCAGGACTTACACTTTTTGTGGTACACCTGGTTATGTGGCACCTGAAAGTGTCCTTGCCCGAGGTTATGGCACATGTATTGACTGGTGCGTTTCATCTACAGATTTCTCAACCCGTAGAATGTGCCTAGTAACTTTCATAAAATTGTCTCCTGGGATATCGTAGCCATCTTTGCCCTGATGCCAGCTGAAACCCAGCCCTTCTGCTCATGACTTTGAGTGCTCACTAATCTCATGCGTAGGCAAGGCAGATTAGCAACATTCTCAGCACAGGACCACAATGCGAGCGATTCAGTACATACTCTTCAATTCAGTTCCATGCTACTTTAAGCCCGCTTTGCCTTAAATCGTTTGTTGAGAAGGGGATGGGGCCACACAGGGGAACAAAGTGGGGGCATGTGGGGCAGGTGCAGGGGGTGTAAGGATAGGAGGGAGGGAGGACGAAGGGGTGGGGGTGGGGGTGCGGGTGGGGGTGGGGGTGGGGGTGGGGTTGTGAGTGCGGGTGTGGGAATGGCTGTGTGGTGTTAACCTCTGCTCTGCTTCTGTTCCATTGGGAGGGTCGCATAACTCATGGTTAACTCAGCCCTGCACTATACAGTGTTCACATGACTGTTCTTTTCCTGGAATGGCCATAGAGTGGGCATCTTTTTAAGGGTGTGTTTTCCAAGTTTGAGGGGTTTCTTTGGTATGAATATTATTTTTGTGTGTATTTATGGACTTGTGGTCCATAAAATGGTTGCATAATAAAACTCCATACATTCTTTAGATCTGGTGTGGTGCTGATGGTCTCCTTTACAGGAAGAGCCATGTCACTTCTCCTTGCAGGCTGTCATTTTTCCCCTTCGAGCCCCTGCATCCCACCCATCCTGTTTTTGGTTTACGGATGTGGGCACCCTCAATATATCAGCCTCAAGCTTGCTAAGCAAAATTTCTGTTTTTGTTAAGGAGGTAACTACAAAACAGTGTACGGAGAGGTTTGAACCAGTCCCCAAGCTTCATTTGTTCCCCCTCTTGTTCCCCCCCCCCC